CGACAGGTAGGTATGTTGAAGAGCCGCAGCGAGGACTGCTCGTATTACAGGGAAGACGTATACGAGTTACCGTGGGTGTACCTCTCTCACAAAGCCTCGTCCGTGCCGGTGTGTCGGCGTTAATGAAACACGTCCACCGTTGGCAATTGTCCCGCCGCAGGCACGACAGCGGCCGTCCGAACGTAAAAGGGAGAGGCGCTAGCTGGCTGGCTGCTGTATTCCGCTCCGTTTCCATCAGGTTGCATCTAGCAGCCCGAGGTCCGGCTACTCTCCGGCGTTTCGTGAATTTAGATGAGCCCGGCCTGTCCGGCTTAATTCGCGTGCACCTCATAAGAAGCGAGTCATAATCTCCCTCTCGCACACACGCGCTCTTTATTTTTGTTACGTTATTGGAGTAACCATCGCAGCCGGTGACCGTCGCGTCGCCCGCTTTTTTCGGTGTAAAAATGTAACTGGTTCGTTGCACGCGTCAGCTTGGCGAATGTAAAAATATATCACGCTTCTATGTGCCAGACTTTCTGTAATATTCACCGTGTTTATCGTGCTATACGTTCGCGCAATCGTATAAGTATGAATAATTGTGTAATTGCGAATTGTTTGCAGACACAAATCATACAGTTTTGGTCTTTAAATTTTTGCGAAGATCATACGACAAGGTAACACGAGATACACGCTATTATTCGCTTTTTTCTTTTTATTAGAGCGTATGACATACATTTTCATGGTTTTCTAATTGTCGCCTACATTTCTGCATTAGTTCTACCAGATCTTCACTAATAAAACGAGCAAATGCATCATCGGATACCAGAGAACCCTCTTTCGCGTTACGTGTTTCGTCTGAGACGTATAGGAACGACGACTACGCTACTGTAGAAAAACGCCTGCGGAGAGCTCGGGTCACGTACAATAGCGCGATAGCGTAGTCGCTCTTCCTATTTTCTATCTTTCTTTTTCTTCCCATCATGCGTTCACGCTCATCCCCTTTCGTTTCCTCATTCAAGTCTCGACTGTTCGTTTTCTCCGCCCGTATTCAAGGTGTAAGGAGCAAAAGGAAGACGCGCGCATGCACAAAGATCACATGCCGCCCAGATTGAGGCTGCAGGGTAAACGTTCCTGTTCCCTCTATTGCTTCTGGGCGTTTTGTCTCTCCTTCACCTTCAGATCTCCGGCTTGCTCTCTCGCTTTGAGCAAATCTGCGTGAAAATGAGAAGAACGTCTAGTACGAGCCACGTTGGAAGGAGGGCGAAAAGTACGTACGTCGAATGTGTGTTGTACGTGCACGCGTGCACACGATGTGAACGAGTGAGAGCTCAGGCGAGAAAGACAGACAGAGAGAGAGAGAGAGAGAGAGAGATTAGGGAGAGATAACCATGGCGAATATCAGAGCCCTTCTGATGACGACGAGGTCGAATAACGAGGCTTCGCTATCCACGATAGGACACGGTTCGGAGTTGAAAATTACTTCCGCGTCACGGAGCTTTTCCTGCGGGGCCAGACGACGACCCTCCGACGAGTACCAGCCGGAGGTGAGTTATGATAGTCTATCGAAGTAAGTTCGTTACCGATGAGATTCTTGATTTTCTATTTATCGGGAGACCGTAAGGCAGCTAGGTAATAAGTCTCTCGTAGCCGTTGCCTCTCTCTCCCGGACGAAATTAGTTCTTGAAGGAAATATATTGCGGATGCCGAGGTAAATACTGAAAAATCCCGGCGCTTCAGGTAATCTTTTTTCTATTACGACCGGCAATTTGCGATGGGGCGCGATAAATTCGCGTGAGCGAGTGAATTTTAACACTTATACGTGGTAATATCATAATGCGGGCATTGAATAATGTTCACGGAAAGATAGAGTGTCGGACGATGAAGCGCTCGGCGCCCCTCGCGCGAGAATTCACGATGATTACTGCGAAAGCAAATAAAAACGATGCCTGTAAGTGAAAAAAAATCATAAAATCATGGGAGAATCGACATATAGTTAGAAATGAGATTTTGAATTTTACTATCCAGAAATGGAAGAGAGAACCAGCAATGGATTTTATTGGAAGACTGCAGGAAAAGGCGAGTAAAATAATGCGCTTTCTCGCTCGATCACAAAATTCATTGAGCCCCTGTTATTGTATATTAATATATAGGTTTGTACGCATGTGTTTTCAGCATGGAATAAAAATGTAATAATAATGATCACGTGAAGAAACCAGCACGGTGGAGAACGCGCGTCTATCGATAGTATTTGAAAAATGAACCGCGCTCGTTACAATTATGACTTACCGCGCCGTTTCGGTAAGCGGAATAAATGCACTCGCTTTATTGTACATCCATTAAAATTCCATTTACCAATGGTAGCTTATGGTTCGTAGGATAATAGCTGCAGCAGCACTCGATGTCCAATAGCGAATAGCTCTAACTACCGATTTACCGTTTTCAATTATGCTGTTTGATCGATTTAATACGAAATTTCTTCTGCCTTTGTGACTAATTCACAAGTCAATTTACCAAAATCCTTAGAGATACGAGAGAATGTATATTACAACTATTAATATATAATTATATTTCTATATTTAGCAAGTTTTGCTACGTAAATTCGTGTAACTACCACAATATTCTCTTTGTAGTCTTCTTACATATTTTGTTACGCTTTTTTTTTATGTTATTTATAGCATAATGACGAGATTAACTTATTGCATCTATTCCTCTTTCAACAATTCTTCAATAATTTTTGTGAGAAATATACGTTTTCCGTGAGATACGAAAATGAAAACCGTTTGCGCGAAACGCACTTATTTAATATCAATTTAAGATTACGTCCGTAGAATCTACGTAGTTTCGTCGCCACAAGCAAATCGCTTAACCGCCGTGATGTATTTTGACAGGCTAATGGATATCGCGTACGGATTATCATGCTAAAGAGACGTTAATTAACACGTCGCATCCAGTAATGGCCGTTCAACCGGGACAGAGGTTCTCATATATGCAATGCCCGTATCGTATATAGCGTTTTGAAGAGATAAAAGGAGAACAGAAATTAACACCAATACTGTAGATACCGTCGAAATAAGTCTTACATCTTCGCAAATGCAGTACTTTTAATAGAGATAATTAAATATAATGATCTATATAAATATAAATAATGCAAATGTTATAAGACTAAAATGATTGAGATATGTCTTATGTATAAAATTTTCACATTTTTTATGATTATATTAATAAAACAGCTGACACAATGACTTTTTAATGATTTGAGATCTATATAAATATAAATAATGCAAATGTTATAAGACTAAAATGATTGAGATATGTCTTATGTATAAAATTTTCACATTTTTTATGATTATATTAATAAAACAGCTGACACAATGATTTTTTAATGATTTGAGATTTGTCAATCGATTAATTATTATTTAACTAGGATAATACATATATATAATGTAAAAAATATTACTAATAATATATAAAGACAGTTTTCTCCATGAAGAGTTGTAATGAATATTCAAAATGATCAAAATAATTTAGAAATCTCAAGTATGATGAGCAATACTATATAAAGTTTTAACGTTCCAGCAACTAGTTTGAATTTCTTACATAATTATTTTAATTCAACAAATGTCCTACATAATTATTTTGGTCCAATAAAATTATTTTCAGATCTAACTAAATCTTTAGATATTTCGGCAAAATCGCTTTTTCCATATAGAATACTTCGAGAATCTGTCAGGTTATATGATCACTTTTCTATTCGATGCAGTTGTAAAAATAGAATTTTAAATTCGCGCTTTTATTTAACTCGTGCGTTAATAGAACTCTACTAAAATTGATATTTAGGACATATTCAAAAAGATCGTTTTATGATATTACTTTATAATAAAAATGTATAAAATTATAATAATGTATAATAATTATTTATAGTATGTGGTAAATATAAAAATCATTTTATGCTCCTCTCGTATATAGGATTAAAATCAGATGGCAGTAGCTGTATCAATTCGTAATTTACTATGTTGAATAAGCTAGAAGAGGGAATTTGAGTTAAATCCAGGAAATCGAGTCGTTTCGTACGGAGTCTGCTAATTTCCCCTCAATATATGTAGTATATCTATGTATATGCTCGTGTATATATATCTATATATATATACACATATATACATATATATATATACATATATAAAGTGAAATAGGGACATTAATATTTAGCTACGTAGTAATTATAAGTGAGTCGGCAGATATTCCATTATAACTAAAAGAGCGTCACATGTATTCGTGATGGCAAATGGAGATTAGTACAATGATATATACATAAGATTAGCACAGTGCAAGCTACATTGAACGCTATATCGGGCAATCCGTCTTTACAATGTGACACGAAATGACGAGATTTATTGGCAGAAAATAAATTTCGTTGTAGGATTTTTCAATATTTCATCTTCAATTCCGACTATATAATGCCTGCATAAAACCCACGCGAGGCGTCGAAAAGAATCGAATTTTGGCATACCACTGCAAACTTAAAATGAAATTCAATTGAAAAGTCTGATAATTTTTTACAGTATCGTGCATCGAAGTAAATTGCAATATTGAATCTTGTTGTACAAAATAAAAACATATAATCATTTCGTAAAACTGGAAATGCAGAAGAGAAACAAAGAAAAGATAATTTTTCTCTTGGAAAATTTTTATGCATAAATTACTCAAAATACACATCTTTGTAGTAATATAAAGTATGAATGTAATAGCATAACAGTTAAATATTTGTGCAAATGTAAAATTAGCGTATTATCATATTAAAAAGTATACAATACTAATTTAGCAAATTCATTTTTAGCTGTCCGATAAAAGTATATATTCATTCAGTGAACTTAAATATTCGTACGCAAATATTAATGAAGAAATTTTGGAAATTATCTAATATCTGCACGCTGCAGATGTGCAGTCAATTCAGGCTTACGGTATCCGAGAAAGAAATCTCGGGCGCGATTCGATCGATGACCTAGCCAGACGGTACCTACCTCTATGCCACGTCGATTCCTCCATCGCACCCACTTGTTGAACCCTGGCCGCCAATACTCGACGAAGTATTCCTCGGTGTACTCGACCCCGTTGCCATTGCCGAATCTGCCTTGCGTCTTGGTGGACGTCAGTAAACGCGGAGTGTGCAGATTCACCTCCAGGTACTCCTTGCCTTCCTTGGTTACCATATTTCTCGGGCACCAAGCGCCGCCACCCTTGTCTTGTCGTAGCCTGAGAAACCGAGGTATTATATGAGGAGTTATTACGAACGCTCTTCAAGAAAGTACGTCGCGTGAAGACACGCACACGCGGCGAGGAACGCACACGTAGCAGACGCGACGTACCGTATATATAACTTGCGTGACAAACGCACGTGCACGTCCTCGTGTGCTTTCCTAGTCGCGCTTTTCGGGTCGTGACAACTTATACCTTGTACGCATCGAAAAGAAGGCAATAAAAGTGATATCCAAATGGAAGATACATATCATATGTATATAGGTATACACATCTTGATTATCGTGGATTTATTATGTAGATGGCATAATTAATGAATTTCCCGTCCTGGTTTCTTTTCAAGATCAACAACCGTCTCTGCGTGTAAATTAATGACCCGGCGATTGATTTACGGGCGATCTTTGAATCACGCTACCTCGTCGAGGTTCACGCGGTATTGATTATGAATAACTTATTTTACAACGAAAGCTTTTATCGCGATAGCAGCTTCTTGTGGACAGAAGAAAATGGAAGTAATTTTTTCAGAGCTCTTGGAGCTCGCGGAAGGGAGTAGAGAAAGATTGGTGGTTAATAGATTCTAGGAAGAGAAATTAAGAATAGAATAATTATAACTCCATATCAATTTCAATTTTCAATTTGTAATTTTGTGCTAGAATATAATGCTTTATAAAATAAGATAATCATAATGCTTTATTTTAAGATATATGTTCATGAAGATAAGATTTAAAAAATTAAGAATATCATTATATATATCTGCAGGAGAAGAATAATATAAAAATATATACAGAAATATATATTAAAAATAATGAAATAATAAGACTCTCGATATTTAAAATGTAACAAAATGGAACAAAGGCCAAAGAGTCAATTCTCAATAATAAATATATTTTCATAATCCAACACAAATGTATTAGTGAGTATATCAAAAACGTACACATAATTATTAAAAAGTTACAAAAACAAGAAAAAAAAGAAAGTTTAGTGCTACGAAGATACAATAAATTTAACATGTTTCAGCCTTATTGTATTTAGGCCCTCCTCAGAATACGGAATTATGACGCCGCAAATCAATAATAACGACAGTTTTGTTAATAAAATTGAATTAAAGATGAGAGAGAGAAAGAGTAACGTTGAAGAACGATGAGTGGGTTGCTCGGAGAATTGAAATTGCTCGTCAAACGATTGGCTAACCGGATGAGAAAAATTTCTCGTAGTTCTGTGTCCAAAAATTAAACGAATCCATGTCAAGGTTAAAATATTGTCAATAATATAAAATCGGCGGAATTAGAAATTTTTTAGTATCGCATAATAAGTGTGTAATGTCTGATAAGTACTAAATAGCAACCGTCTAACTGTTACTGCATGCGAACAATACTGTAATGCATTACAAGGCCGAAACATGTTAAATTTATATTGTATCTTTGTAGCGCTAAACTCTTTCTTTTTTCCTTGTTTTTGTAACTTTTTAATAATTATATGTACGTTCTTAGTATACTCACTAATACATTTGTGTTGGATTATAAAAATGTGTTTATTATTGAGAATTGATTCTTATTGGCTCTTGTTCTATTTTGTTATATTCAGAAATATGTATACATATCTGAACTTTATTAATTCTAGTAGAATTAACATCACCCTAAGTGAACAAATCTAAAAGTGGTTATTCTACAAATAAATAATCAATTTTATCCCGAATATATTTCTGCAAATTAAGTTACACCTTGAGACTTCCGTTGTATCCACATATGTGGCATACGCGTATCAAATGCTACAAGATTCTGTATACAAATTGATAATCTTACTCTGCATAATAAAATTGGATAAAAAAATACACGTTAAAAGTGTTTTGGATCATTAAACTTGCAACATAATCTATAGAGTACGCAAGAGTTGTCGGAAGGGCAAGGTGTATTCTTCCGCCAAGCACCTTAATTCTCAATTCTCTGAATTTTCAAAGCTAGTTGCTCTGACAACGAATCCGCTAAATTAAATTCCGGAAATATATCTTTCGTCAAGAATTTCGTGAAGCGTATCGGCTCGCTAATTAAATCTTAAAACGAAACTCCGCGCGAGTACGATGACGAAAGTTTATAAGAGACCGAAGCGTTATTATCAGGTGTTATTTCCGACACGATCTTGTCACAAGCACACATCCCGGAAATCCATTGAAATACGTATATATCTACATACACGGTTGCGTCACAAAGGAAGAGAGAATCTCCATGGAAATATTTCAGCTGGTTCAGTCATAGAGGACTGCAATACATATAGGCGGTATGCCCGCATGTAAACAATAGACCAAGCGAAATCCACTGAAAGCGTTTGCGGTTAATTAGGCAGCAATACTGTTAACAATGTCCTGGATTCAGCAAGGCTCTCCGTAACCTTGCTTAGCAATCCATCGCAATTCGTGGTTACCCGGCTCGATGAACATAGGATTTCGTTTAAATAAAGTCACTATTGAGATGATTCGTGCAACCAATTTCATAAAGAAGACACTATTTATTTGACGTCCATTCGCGATTGTGAATGAGATTATGATCAAGATAAAAGGGATATAGAAATTGAGAATTTCCACAACAGCGCTGATTGCCATAAATGCATACGTACAATTAAATAGAGCGGATTGTTTTACAATACAATGCATAAGTCATTTGCTCTGAATCACGGTTGATTTATCGAAATTTCTATTTATCGTTATCTGCCCGGTTACACATCGATAATAATCATTTTCCCCTCTCTTTACGTTTATTCATGGTTGGCATTTTCTATTTATCTCAATTCATGATAAAATTCAAATCGAATGTGATTCAATTTCTGAGATAAAATAAGCTGAATTTCGCCAATTTAGATATTCATATATTTCATTATTGTAGTATTTTATTATTATTAATATCTGCAATAAAAACGAAAATTTTATTGAATTGTTTTATTTGAAAATTCAAAAATATATAAATTATTTCAGAGGTTTTACGGTAAGATCGTTTTCATTATTTCGTTATTTCGAGAAGTGACTTTTGGTGGTAATAGGTAGGTACAATATTGACCATGTTGCAGCACTTCCGCCCGTTAATTGCACCATCAACGTTTCCAGATGTTCCGTAAGTTGAACGTAAAAATAAAAGAAAAAGGCGTACCGGGAGTCGTAAAAATTCCCTTACGTGCCTTCTTCGAACTTGAAGGATTCATGGCGTAGAAATGTAAGGCTGCCCGTTGTTAAACCAAGAAACGTAAATGTACATTCAGAAATGCATTGCTTAGAAAGTATTTAATCAGAAACCTGCTATAGAGGTTTTTGTGAACGTTGATCGTAACGAGTTTGCTAGGAATATTGAAAAATTTTACGATTGTATTATAATTCACGGTTTATTGTCTCGCAGTCATTAATTCTTTTTTTAGATCATTAAACAACATTTTTGTGATTAAAATAGCTTATTGCAACTTTCACAATTTGAGGAGAAAAAGTAGAAGTATGATGATTTCTATACTCTCATCAATTTTAATTTAAACTAATTAAAGTTAACATTTTGTTATAATAGTCGCTTTTTTCAAAAAGTATTATTCCATCTACATAAAAAATATAATATTCGATATTGCAAATATAACACCAGACCTTTTGTAATTGAATTGCGAAATGTAAAATAAAATAAAATGTGATAAAATATTGGAACTATTAATAATAGTTCCTAGATCCTTACTATAAATACTCTACCTTACTATAAGTTCTGCGAGGGATTTAATTGAAAAAACGATATAGATTCGGTATGGCACACCGGTGAGCTCCGGTTTTTTTTTCCAAAAATAGATGGAGAGTGCGATCTTAATAGGAAGCCAATAGTCTCCTCAGTACAATTTACGGCAGCCAACCGACAAGCCATCCTATAGTATACGACTTTAAAGTGGTCTTCGCGAGAAATGTACGAGAGGTAAGAGAGCTCGGCTCACGGGCCGACCAAAAGCATTATGCCGCCTCATCAGTCGAAAGGTGCATTAGCATTGCTAATGACCCGCGATCGTTACCGCCACACGCCGCAGCTACTATCCACGCTGCTTCGCGCGCAGCGTGTTTGTTATTTGGAAGTGGGCCATGGTGAACTAGAGAGAGAGTGAGAGAGAGAGAAACGATCCCCCCTCCGTCTCTCTCTCTCTAAAGAGAGTGAGAGAAATGAAAGGCCAACACTCCCGTTACCAGCAATAATTTTCGTATGACAATATCTTGCAACGTCACATAGATATGCATCCATTGTTTCATTTGGCTAAAACACTAACGAATACATCGTTCAGCTCGGCCGACCATAGAACGGAATTTCCCGTTGCTTTTTACGCGAAATTCTCATGGCTATTAACAAATTGATGCGTCAAGCTTTCCCCGTTCTCCCTCTCGTTTTTGTGGATTTCGAGCGCTTCTTGCGAAATATCTTCCGTAATTCTGTAAAATGCCCGACCCGCGTAATCCATTCAATTAAGGTTATTGTTTTATCACGATAAATACGATAGAAAATTTACAGTGAAATGAGCGATTCCCAGTTATTAATCGTGAAGAAATACACCGCTTACGTTTGCAAATTTGATGTAATGTATGCGTACGGTAAATATTGAATTACAAAGATATTACAGAGCTGAATTACTTACGATCAATAAAACCATTTTGTAATTTGCACATCCCTTTGTACGCGTTCTCATTCATAATTTTTCGCGACGGTGAAACTGATCGTTATTTCGAACACGTTTGCACGCGTACATACATATTGTATCCCACAGCTACGTCTGATTTCACTTGGAAAACCTGAATTTTCCAGCCGTAGAACAAAATGTTGCACCGATCTACTCCTCTACCTCTTCTTTAAAGGCATATTTATATTCAGGGCGCGCACGAGCCTGCTTGCTTTCTTCTATTATCTCCCAGCGTGCTCAGCTTTAGAACCCCTTCTTCGTCTCACCTCGAGAATAGCTGGTAAAAAGTAATTAAATTTTCCCGTGATATGGCGATTTTGATG